ACCGTTCAGTGTCTATTCTCAAAATGTTTTATTATTAATGACATATGCGACACCTTTTTAAAATGACCTATTGCAGTTTTTATATTTGTATGTTTTAACGCGTCACTTAAAAAAATGTATTGTCTCATTTCTTAACGTATTTGGGGATTTTATTTAACTTTTTGCAGAGTTTTCTCGGGTCTTTCGTTCTTTAGGGGCCGAGAGCAGCAGGAGGAGAAGAAGTGAATCAAGATGTCGGACGAGGAGGACTCTGCTCCGGCCTCCAAGCGGACTCGCGTCTACTACGGGAGTCTGGAGGAGAAGGAGCGGGAGCGCCTCAGCTCCGAGGGGAGGAGCGGCGATGGCGTGAAGGCCGGGATCAAGGCGGGAAACATCAACATCTCGTCAGGTGCGTCTCGCCGTCCCAGACCACGGCTTGCAGTGCGTGTGACGCGTGAGTGACGCCTTGTTTCCCATGATGCCGTGCAGGAGAGACCCTGGAGATGGAGGAGCGCGTCAGCGAGCGGCAGCAGGACGCGCTCGCCGCCTTCGAGCAGCGGCGCCGCGCCCGTCAGATCACCGTCTCCACGGACGACGCCGAGGTCAAGGCCGGCCTCCGGGCGCTGGGGGAGCCAATCACGTTGTTCGGAGAGGGACCAGCTGACCGGCGCGAGAGGTGGGTCGACGTGGTGCAGGAGTAGAGGGTGCGCCGGGAACCACAAGGTTGGTGGTTCGAGCCCCGGCTGCTCCATGTCCCGTGTCGAAGTGTCCCTGAGCAAGACGCTGAACTCCTAATTACTCCCCCGGCAAAATGTAAAAAGCCACGAGTTAAAAGTGTAATGTAAGTCGCTTTGGATAAAAGCGTCAGCTAAATGACCTGTGATGTGATGGACGATTAAACATCTAATAGGAATGTAGAGAGAGATCATTTTCAGCTATTTAAAAGGATGTTATTGTTCCGTTAATACTCCTGCGGTGTCACAAACATGATGACATCACATCGGACCTGTGACCTCATCAGCAACAGCTCGCACACAAAAGAGAATCTCAGTAACAATTAGAGATCGCTGATCACAGATCATTAAATGTATTTAACAGTGATGATGGGAAACTTTGTTAAATACAAACCTTCACAATAAGATACAAACACAGAAAATTTCCAAAATAATGATAGAAAATATTCAAGCGTAAAAGTCCATGATGGAATATTTAAGGCTCAAATGTGTAAAAAAAATATAAGCAAAGTTTACAGGAAACATTTGTCTTCGTGGCGTTTAATAGTGTTTTATTTACACAACAAAAATCAATAGATTTATTTGTTTATTATCTGCCGTGTGTAAAGAATCAAAAATTAATGACGATCAATTTCATCAGAAACCTGAACTTTGTTTGTTTGTGATCAGACTTCGCAGCGTTCTGTCTGTTGTCGGTCCGGATGCTCTGAAGAAATCCAGAAGAGACGACGAGAGAGCCAAGAGGTCCCAGGACGAGGTACACACACACACACACCGACACACACCGACACACACACACACACACCGACACTCACTCACTCACTCACTCACTCACTCACTCACTCACTCACTCACTCACTCACACACCGACACACACACACACACACCGACACACACTCACTCACTCACTCACTCACTCACTCACTCACTCACTCACTCACTCACTCACTCACTCACTCACTCACTCACACACACACCGACACACACCGACACACACACACACACACACCGACACACACACCGACACACTCACACACACACACACCCTGACACTCACACACACACACACACACACACACCGACACACACACACACTCACACACACACACACCCACAGACACACACACACACACACACCGACACACACCCACACACCGACACACACCCACACACCGACACACACACACACACACTCACACACCCACACACCCACAGACACTCACTCACTCACACACATACACACACACACACACACCCTGACACACACAGATACACTCACACCGCGACACACAAACTTTTACAAGACGTGTCACATGTTCTTTCCTTCTGACCAATCACAGTGCCAACAGAACGTGGTTCCACGAAGACTCCGCCTACCTGAAGGATGCTCGCCTCTGGCTGGCCAAATACTCTCTGCCAAGGTGAGTCAGTAACCGACCAATCAGAGACAGAAGTGTGTTAATGTGTGATGAATGAGATGGAAGTTTGAGCTCTCCAAGGACTCCGATTGGTTGTGACTCACAAGCTCCTCCTGTGATTGGTCCGTCAGGGCGATGAAGCGTCTGGAGGCTGCACGCGCTCTCAAGGAAGTTGCCGAGGCAACGAGGGCGATACGGCAGCAAGAGCAGCAAAACAGTCTGAGGGTCAGAATGAGTTCATGTGAATATTACGTCCCAAAGTATATCACAGCACAACGGAGGAATGTCAACTTCTTCTACTTCTGCAGAATCTGAACAACTTCTGCAGTCAGATCGGTGACGATCGACCAATCAGCTTCTGCCACTTCAGCCCCGACTCAAAGATGCTGGCCACCGGCTCCTGGTGACAAGCCCCGCCCCCTTTAGCCAGGACGATACTTACATAATTACTCATGCTGACGTAACGACGAAGCTAATGCTAACATGCTAACCCCCCACAGGAGTGGCCTCTGTAAGCTGTGGTCTGTCCCCGACTGCAGCCTGATTCGCACACTCAGAGGTGGGCGGAGCTTCACGTTTATCTAGAATTAGCATTTATTTATTATTTTGTCTTTTTGTTTCATGGAGTGTGTGTGTATGTGTATATATATATATATATATATATATATATATGGTGTGTGTGTGTGTGTGTGTGTGTGTGTGTGTGTGTATATGAGAATCACTTCATTAAAATCTCTAACTGATACCACACCCCTTTTCTCTATGACGTGGCCTCCCTGATTGGCTGAAGGACACAGCTTCCCACGTTGGCTCGGTCGTCTTTCCGGGCGAAGGCGGGAGTCTTCCATCGACAAATCATAACTTCAGCTTGGCCTTCTTGGTCCGCCCACGGTTCTTTTATGCTCTGGAACCTGGAGAGGTAGGAGGGAGGAGACGAGGAGACGAGGAACGGCACCCTGCTCTTCACACGCTCATTCATGTCTGTCTCTCCCTGGTTGCCGTAGCGACGAGCCGGTGGCTGACATTGAGGGTCACAGCGACCGCGTGTCTCGGGTGTCCTGGCATCCCTCCGGCAGGTTCCTGGGAACCACCAGGTAAAGTGGTGCCGAACCGTCACCTATGCTGTACTTCTGTGTACTAGTACTTACACACCTGTCTGTACTTCTGTGTACTAGTACACACACACAGTACTTACACACCTGTCTGTCTCAGCTATGATAACTCGTGGCGTCTGTGGGATCTGGAGGTTCAGGAGGAAATCCTCCACCAGGAAGGTCACAGCAAAGGAGTCCATGACCTCCACTTCCACCCCGACGGGTCCCTGGCTGCTACTGGGTAAAGTACACACTGTACTACTACACACTGCCTTTCGCAGTAGAGCTGTCAAAGTACTGATGATGAATGTGAAGATGCTCTCGATACCGGAGTTCAATAAACACCTTGTCGTGTCCGTCACTGTGCTGGGAAGCCCCGCCTCCTTCTCCACCAGAGAGCTGGATTTGTGTTTAGTAGCTTTGCTTTCTGGGACTTTTAGTATCAGCTGTGTGCGTCCGTATCGTCTCTCCCTCTGTGACTGTTTGCCGCTCTGATCCAATCAGAGGCCTGGATGCCTTTGGCAGGGTGTGGGACCTTCGGACCGGACGCTGCATCGTTTTCCTGGAGGGACACCTGAGGGAGATTTACAGCGTTCACTTCTCACCCAACGGGTCAGTCAATCAGAGACGAGCACCCTAAATACAGTGTCATCGAGTCACAGGCATTCTAGAGAATTTATATTTGATGCAAATACATTTTATTTGCATATTTTTATCAAATAGTAAAAGTAAGCTTTATTTTGTTGATAATCAATATATTCATTTTTTTGTTTTTGGTAATTTGAGAAATCTAAATGTATTTTGTTATATTTCTGACTAGTTGTGTTTCTGTGTTCTCAGGCATCATCTGGCTACAGGAAGTGGTGATAACACCTGTAAGGTTTGGGAGCTGAGAAACAGGAAGTGTTTGTACACAGTCCCCGCCCACCAGAACTTGGTGTCGGCTGTCCGCTTCCAACGTAAACACATCTCTAACATTACTGTTGTATTTTTATTTATACCATTTCATTTTCTCTTATATTGAATTCACATTTGTTTATTTTTGTAATTTACTTAACTTAATGTAATATTGTGTTCATGTTTTTTTCTTGTGAGTTGTTTGTGTCTCTGACCGCACTTCCTGTTTGTCTGTGTGCAGCTACAGACGGTCACTTCCTGTTGACAGGAGCTTACGACAACACGGCGAAGGTTTGGAGTCACCCTGGCTGGACGCCGCTGAAGACGCTCGCCGGCCACGAGGGGAAGGTACATACGCTGCTCACCCATTGGTCCTTTCAGAGGCCGCTGCTGATCGGTGGAAACGCATCGGAACTTTAACGCGACACAATTGTTTCTCCTCCAGGTGATGAGCGTCGACGTGTCACCTGACGGGAAGCTGATCGCCACCAGCTCCTACGACAGGACCTTCAAACTGTGGCTGTCTGAGTGATGTCATCATGAGGGGGTTTTATTGGGTTTATGAAACGATATCGTCGCCTGTGTGTCTTTTTCTTTTTTAAATAACAGTTTGGAATTCTGTCTTTTTTTAAATAAAGTTAAGATTGTCGTTATTTATGAACAATATATTCATTTATTCCGGGAGATAAAGATAAATATCTAACTAAAATAGACCTTTGTTGATGGAAAAGGAAAGATTAACAATGGAGATTAACATTAAATAATGTAATAAATATATATAAGTACTGTATATCCATCTGCAAAGCGCTTATCCTGCACACACGGTCGCGGGGGGCTGCAGTCTGTCACCGCCAACTTCGGGCGGTAGACGGTGTAACCTGGACTGGTCGTCAGCCAATCACAGGGCTACACAGAGACACACAACCGTTCACACACCTACGGGCGACTCAGAGTCCCAATCGAGCTGATCCCCGGAGCACGTCTCTGGACTGTGGGGAGAACCACGCAGACACGGGACACACAACATGCAGGCTGTGAACGTATATAAACGGCACAAAACGCATACAAACACCCCCCCAACACACGCGCACACGATTAAGGTGGAGGAATGCATGGTGGAGAATCCTCCACCTAATTGATGTGTGGCAGGTTGCACACAACACATAAAAGCATCATAAATAATGTATGAAATAATGTATTTTATTATGCAACGAGCCATTATTGTAAATGTAGAAATATTTCTACACTGAAGTATTACAAATGTGAATAATAATACCAAGATTCATCGATCAAATCCAATCTGAGATTCCAACTCCGAAGCAGCAGGTGGCGCTGAGCCCCACGACATGCGGGTGATCACGTGAGCGGCCCGCAGCGTGACGCGCACATCAGCTGACCGACGGTCCACGGCGGAAAGAAGCGCAGTCCTCCGTCGACCTTCACTCGGCTTCTTTTCCCGCAGATACCGCAGCGCGACATGGCGAGTCAGTCCCAGGGCATCCAGCAGCTGCTGCAGGCCGAGAAGAGAGCGGCCGAGAAGGTGACCGAGGCCCGCAAGCGTGAGTACCGACGGGCCGCCTACGGATAAAGGGGGGGGTCACCGTCACCGTTAGCTGTCGATTCGACACGCACAGTACCGGCGATATAAGATCAAACTCGCACACCTGCGCGTGTTATTAACGAGACGCGCGAAGCAGAAGAAGAAAGACAAGCAATGACGTCACGGAGGAGCGGACCTGTCGGGGGGCGGACCGAACCCAATGTAGAAATTTAAGAATTTAGAGCTTCTTTCCTTCTATTTTTGCTTTTGAAGGAGCTCTGTGAAACCCAGAGGCACTTCCACATTCACACACTTCCGCTTTTTAAATCGGCTCCCAGGCGGATGACTGAATAACCATACGCGGTTAGCTAAATCACTTAAATGTTAGTCAGCCATGGAGCATCATGGGATATGGTGACCAATCGATCACGTAATAATCCATATTAACAGCTTGTATCATACTATTTGTTTTTTGTGTTCAGGGAAGAACCGGCGTCTGAAGCAGGCGAAGGAAGAAGCTCAGGCCGAGATCGAACAATATCGACTTCAGAGGGAGAAAGAGTTCAAGACCAAAGAGGCCGCTGTACGCTACTGCATATATATATATATATATATATATATATATATATATATATATATATATGATCTTTTATCTCCCAGATTCGTTTTAATATATATTTTTATTTCTTCATCCCGATTGGTTTCCTCCTAATTTGAATTATTGCTTTCTTTGTTTCTAACAAAATGTTTTCAATATTCAATTTAGCAGATTTGTATTTAAACTGTCCCCCCTCCGCCCCTTCAGGCCCTCGGTTCCCACGGCAACAGTGCAGTGGAGGTGGACCGTGACACGGTGGAGCGGATGGCTCGTATCCAGGCAAGTTACCGCGGTAACCGGGAGGCAGTGCTGGGCGAGTTACTGCGGCGTGTCTGTGACATCCATCCAGAGTTCCACGCCAACTACCGCGTGGCGGGCTGAGTCGTAATTCCAAACAGGGCGAGGCCAACAGAGAAGACAGGAACTTTAGCAAAAAATAAGAGCTTTTATTTTGAATATCTGAAGTTCATCTCCTGCTGAGTTCTTGCTTCAAGGGAAGATATTAATAAATGTTGTTACTGTGTTGATGTTTACAGAATATTTGTTTCTTTAAATCCCTCCCAAATCTAACAAAACAAAGGTTTTCGATCACTTTATCTCTGTGAGGTTTAAGGACAAAATAAGCCAACATGTGGTCAGTTTAAAGTAAAATACAATAATTCATCTAAATGAAGTAAGATTTGATCAGTTGATTGGCTGTTTCCCTTTGTTATTACCTTCATCACAATAATGTGGAAAGGCTTTTATTTTGAAACTTGTTCCCTTTGTGTGACCGTAAAACAACTTGTTCTGATGACTTCCTGTTGATTTTTGTGAAGTGATATAATGTGAAATAATAAACTGAATGTTCAATGGCGGAAATTGTGTGGAACTGTTCTCTGATTGGCTGAAATGTTCCTGCTCCTTTGAAGATATTGCAGGGTTCCTTTGGGAGGCCTGTCTGCCTGTTTATCCGCCTGTCTGCCTGCCGTCCGCCTGTCCGCCTTTCCCTCTAGTCCACTTCCTCGGTTCAAAGGGTTCTTCTCTACATCAGAGACCAGATTGAAACAGACCGGCAACAAAATAGAATAAAAAGTAAAGAGATAAAATGGGACACTGTTGCTCAATAGAATACAATAGAAAAAGCAAAATACATGTGTAAAAATATGAAGTGTGTAAGAAGTGATAGGAATACCTGAGCTTAATGAATCTAAAATACTAAAGTTATATTAAACATGACATGAGGTGCTATAATTAAATTGATATAAAACATAACTCATTTTCTTTTTTTCCCCCTTGAATACAATGTGAAATGTTTTCATTTCTAAACGAGAATGTTAAATGTTTGTCTCCGTTGAAAGTTAAATAATAAGTAATACCAATATGAATAAAAGTTTCTTCTTCCGGTGTTCTTTCACGTGACTCTCTTAAAGCACCCATGCCATCGTTTACGTGGCTCTCACATAGTCCCGCCTCTTACCTCAGGCGTCGCCTTCCCATTGGTCCAAACTGCCAGTCGCATCACTTTTCACCCGCCTCCTCTCAGCTCCTCCCCTGAATGCTGCGTAAAGACGTCATGACGCAGGTTAACGGAAGCGTCCGAGTAGCAAACATCAGAGAGACGGCGGAGAGAAGAAGTTGACGAGACCAACCACTTTCTCCTTCCTCCTCCTCCTCCTTTTCTTCGGTTTTATTTCTGTTTAGTGTCGTGCTTCGTAGCTCAAACGGAGCGCAAGACTTCCAGGTGAGCTCCGTGTGTTGATGTGTGTGTTACTCTGACCTCTGCTGCTACACGCTAGCACCCGTTTGCTACTGTACGGGGCTCCTTAGAGGAACAGTACGTTGGAGGCGTTCTGCCCCGTAGCCGAGAACAAGTTGCTGGGGGGTTCGAACCTGTGCCTGTTTTAGAACCGGACGGTTGGTGTCGTAAATTCGGCTTGTACTTCCCTCACCTGCGGAGTCCGCACTCTCACGTACCCTGACATTTAAAGACCCGGTTTACGTCAGTCTCCAGCCCGGCTCCATGTGTTGCTCCGTGATGAATTGAGAAGAATTAAAGCAAACACTGTTTGATGGTTGAAACTCTCTATGATGTTCGACATGTTTGAAACTGGCATCATGGAAACGATCCATCCATCTGTCCTTTAGTTTCCTCTTTTGGATTAAATACGTTTATGACTGGGATGAGAACGAGTCGGGAACAATGAAGTCAGAAGGATTGACCTCAGGTCAGCGGGATTGACCTCGGGTCAGCGGGATTGACCTCGGGTCAGCGGGATGGACCTCGGGTCAGTGAGACCGCCCTCGGGTCAGCGGGATTGACCTCGGGTCAGTGAGACCGCCCTCGGGTCAGCGGGATGGACCTCGGGTCAGTGAGACCGCCCTCGGGTCAGCGGGATTGACCTCGGGTCAGTGAGACCGCCCTCGGGTCAGCGGGATTGACCTTGGGTCAGCGGGATGGACCTCGGGTCAGTGAGACCGCCCTCGGGTCAGCGGAATGGACCTCGGGTCAGTGAGACCGCCCTCGGGTCAGCGGGATGGACCTCGGGTCAGCGAGACTGACCTCGGGTCAGCGGGATTGAGGCTTTAATAATCAATAATAATAACATCCATAAATCAGTGTTTCCCCCTACCATTATTCAGCTGCTCCGGCTGTGTTTACTGAACCAAGACAAAGCTCCAAAGCCTCAATGACGTGCTGGTGGTGGATTGAGAAGACGTAAAAGTGGACCTGGTTCTGAAGGACCTACCCTCACACCGGTTGCCTGACAGGGCGCCGTCTCTCAGGTTCTTCGTCTCGTGGGACACCGTTGTGGGAGAAGAGAAGCCTTCGTTTCCTTGTGAATTAATGAAGTTCTTAAGCAAAACAAGCAGAGCAGGAGAACCGGTCCAGAACAATGAAGTTGTGTGAGACCGGGACTCTGAAAGCTGGACGCACACCAGAGAGGAAGGACGGCTGACTGGAGATCAGTGAGGAGTTCTGATGAACAATGGAGGAGTCTGTTCTATATGTAATATAAATAAATACATATTTCTATAATGAGAACTGCTTCTGCTTCTGCACACCTATTCTAAGCCATCGTGTGCTCAATGCCGAAGAGCACGCGGCGGGATTCTAACCGACAACCTGCGACTCCTTGCTCAGTTTGACCCGGAACACGGCGCTGAAATCCACCTGAACCGACGCTCGGCACACGAAGGAGAAACTGAATTTGCATCGAGATCTGCAACGCTTTGAGGTCGGGTGGGTCTGGTTGTAGTTTAGGGTTGTGGGTCTGGGTCTGGTTGTAGTTTAGGGTTGTGGGTCTGGTCTGGTGGTAGTTTAGGGTTGTGAGTCTGGTCTGGTTGTAGTTTAGGGGTCTGGTTGTAGTTTAGGGTTGTGGGTCTGGTCTGGTGGTAGTTTAGGGTTGTGTGTCTGGTCTGGTGGTAGTTTAGGGTTGTGAGTCTGGTCTGGTTGTAGTTTAGGGGTCTGGTTGTGGTTTAGGGTTGTGGGTCTGGTTGTGGTTTAGGGTTGTGGGTCTGGTTGTAGTTTAGGGTTGCGGGTCTGGTCTGGTTGTGGTTCTGGTCTGGTTGTGGTTTAGGGTTGTGGGTCTGGTTGTGGGTCTGGTTGTGGTTTAGGGTTGTGGTTCTGGTCTGGTTGTGGTTTAGGGTTGTGGTTGTGGGTCTGGTTGTTGTTTAGGGTTCTGTCTGTGGTAAAGAGGGTTTCCTGGTGTCGGCGCGGTTACTTTGTGTCACGCAGCTGCTGCTTCGTGCTGCCAGCGTTCTATTTAAACCAATCAGTGCGACTGAAGTCACGAGGGCTGTAACCAATATTCTATGGAACAAAAAACACGCCGTCTGACTACTGACTGTATGTCGCACAAATGAAACAGCAGATCTTCTACAGCAGCTTCATGCTTTGATTATTTGCCGTTTCGTGCCAATGAAACGTTCCGTGTTTACAGCTCGGCTCGCTCACAGCGTTCGATGTCGGTACGTAAAACCTTCAGGTTCAGTCGCTGCGTGAAGCCCGACGTGTGGAACAAGAATCACGACCGTAAACTGCTCGGACTCTTAATCAGCACTTGTAAATAAATTACCTAACACAAGTAGTTAAGTCTCCTTGTATTAATTTGTCCTGTTATTGACGCGTCTAATGCGCAACCAGATATTTGAATGTAATCGATTTTTTAAGCGAATATTCAAACGTCCTTTTTGAGCAGTTTGACAGCTCTAGATGTCACCTGCACTCTGAAGGGACACGTGACATCACTTCCGGTACACTGACCCCAGAACAGCGACCGAAGTTCAGCTCCGAGTCAAACGAGGACGTGACTGGTGGGGGTCAAAGGTCAGACACGTAGCTGACTCGGGTTCAGTGCTTGATATCACATTATTTAAAGTGAACCTGAAGGACGTTCAATGAGGGTTAAGTGTGAAATCAATAAATCCCGTCTGTTGTAAATCAGATTTTGTGGCGTTGTCATGGTGACATGTGGCAGCAAAGTGCTGACCCTTCATATTTAAACACTCCACCACTGACCAGGTGAGGTCACGGAGTCCTCGGGGGGGTCAGAGGTCATTGGGGCACTGGGAGGGGCCAAAGCTCTCTGCCTGAAGCCGTGTGATTAGATCTGACCTGAGACCTGCTGAACACCTGACAGGAGCACGTGAGCTGAACTGATCCTGAACTTACATGTGGGTTCACCTGTCATTGGGTGTCAGACTCCTCCCAGCTCGTTGGAGAAGACGTGTGCGAGCGCCTGATTGGCCAACGTGGAGCGTGTGATCGGTTTTATGGTCTGTGACTCGCTGTCCTCTCCGTCTCTCTTCAGACGTCTCCAGTGCTCGATCGCCCCTCGCTCGCTGCAGGTAAGACCGTCTTCCTTTTGACCCGACTCACCTGAAGGGCTCTCAGGTGAGACTGAAACCAGCCAATCAGAGGAGAGGACGGCCGTAAGAGGCAGACGGACAATCTAGCTAAACGTTGTGAATGAACGTCTGGCATTAAACAAATCACGATCGAGTTATTGATCAGATCCAACTGAGATGATTATTGATCTCAATGTGCTGCAGGTATTGTTTCACGTAGTACACGTTCGATTTCAGATCCATGAACCACTGAATATTCATGTGATGGGATAAAATAAAAGCAATAGTCTTGCAGCGACTAAATCTATTCATCAATTGATTATTTCCGATCAATATGAACAAATATAGATGTATCTTTTTATTACATCAGCTGGTTGAGGACAAACAACATATGGACAATATTTACCAAGTTACATTTTATCTCAAAGTGATGGCGACTCGTCCAAACACACAAACAGGAAGTCAGTGTTGCCGACGGCGATGGCCAACCTTTCCTGTTAATGTCGCTCTGATCTAATTGGCCGATGTCAGACCGCTGCCGCGGAGCGCTCTGATTGGCTCGCCCGGCCCCGTAGCCCCGGGGCCGGGCGAGCCAATCAGATTACTGAAGGGGGGGCGGAGCGTCTGGCTGTAACCACGGTTACGATCTCCCGTGCTCAGTCTGCGTCTCTCTGGGTGAGTCGGCATCACTTTTGAGGTAAGAACTGATGTTTATTGAGGATTAAAGACTAGATGACGATCCGCTTTTCTCTGAGCTGATTGATCGCTGATCGGCTCTGTGAGCTCCCAGATGTTCAGACTTCCGTCTCCGCTTTACTGTCACCGGAGAAAACCGTAAAACATGAATTTTCTCAGGCAACCTCTGCAGCGTCTGTTTTCCATGATTTCTACATGAATTTGTCTGCATTTATTCTGGAGGAACATTGGAGAGCGTTAAATCATCAGGACGCTGACGTCCCTTTGAGTGACGTCAACATGCGTCTCCTGCCTGCGACTTCTGCTGGTTCTGACCCGGAGGAGGAGGAACGGGTCACTTGTGTCTTCTCCGTTCTCTCCCCACCACAAACGCACAAGTCCATGAATTCACTCAGAAATCATAGAATTAATACGAATGAAAGCATCATGGGAAATGTAGTTCTACAACCTTGTAGTGATTGAATGGATCAAGATGATCTTGTGACTTGCAGCCATGAACCACAGCGCCATGGACCACAGCGCCATGGATCACCATCATAACACCATGGCTCCGCCCACCTCCGGCGGACACGACCACGGAGGAGGAAGCGATGGAGGACACGGGGGGATGGTGAGACGTTCATTAACGCCACGTGTTCCATCATTCTACCATGAAAATAGCAGCATAGTGGCCCAACTGATGCTGCCATGCTAATGCCGTAGCCACATGTAGCGTGCCGCTAATGCACATGTTTACATTGACTAGGTGATGACCTTCTACTTTGGGTGCAACAACGTGGAGCTGCTCTTCACCGGCCTGCTCATCAACTCCCCCGGAGGTGCTTATTCATTTCCTTTGAGAGCATCTATATGTTCACATATTGTTACTGTTCCCTCCGCCCCGTGTCAATGTTATTCTCCTGTGGTCCAATCAGAGATGGTCGGGGCGTGCATCGGTGTCTTCCTATTGGCCGTACTGTACGAGGGGTTGAAGATGGGCCGCGAGACGCTGCTGCGTCGCAGTCAGGTCAACGTCCGCTACAACTCCATGCCGCTCCCGGGGGGGGACGGGACGGTGCTGATGGAAACGCACAAGACGGTCGGGTAGGTGACTAACGCTAACAACGATGCATACACAACGGGAAGTGGTGACGCGTTAGCGACGCGTAGCGGTAACTGAAATCACGGTCATGTGATGTAAATGTCATGTGTTCACTGTCAGCTCAGTGAATGACAGTCGTTGTTTGGACGCGGCAAAACTTCCTGACGGATTTAAGTCCCGCCTCTCACAACTCTCTATCAGGTAACTATAGAGTTCAGGTCCGGGTTCTGGTCTCTGTCCTGGTCCAGGTTCTTTACCTGCTGTTTGGGGTGCTCTAATCAGACCAAATGGCTGATTGATCAGTTTTGAGTTTGCATAATTAAAGTTTCTGATTGGAGCATCTCAATTCTTCCACCAAAGGAAGTCTTTAGCAGGAACTGGTGAAATGATCTGTAACTTGCTAACCCTCAAGCTAATTATAATGCTAGGGTTAACATTTATTTCACACATGTGTTTCAAAACGAAATGTTAGACATATGTGGACTATAATGCTAACGCTAACTCTGTTTTTCTGAGTTTAATACGGTGGATAGCAATGATGCTACACTACAGACACATATACAATGCTGAAACTAACCGTGTTGTGGAGGTAAATTAAGTGTTTTAACATCTGGAAGGGACGGGGTTGGGAATTGAAGCTAACAACTTGTTGACACGTTGCAATGCTAACCCCAGCAATAAAAGCTAACACTGCTACTAATACTTGATTACCTATTTTCAGTTTTACATTAAATTGTACCTAATTTCTTTTTATGGAATTATAGCTGACGTTAAAATGAAGTGTGTTCATGTTGACGCACTAATCGTGATTACCGACTGCCATGGCGGCACGTCTGCATTGGAGTATTTAAGTGTGTGGGTGTTAATGCTAAATATGCTAATATCTTGTTGATAGCAACATTATCTAAGAAGGTCATGCTACAAGTGATGCTAACCCAAAGTCTTGTCCTCTCAGGCAGCGGATGCTAAGCCCCGCCCACTTCCTGCAGACCCTGTTGCACATCGTCCAGGTGGTCGTCAGCTACTTCCTGATGCTCGTCTTTATGACCTACAACGCCTACCTCTGCATCGCCGTGGCAGCCGGCGCTGGCATGGGCTACTTCCTGTTCAGCTGGCGGAAGGCGGTGGTGGTCGACATCACCGAGCACTGCCATTAGCTAGCGCGCTCGCTAGCGCTCCAATCGGGACGTTTAGAGTTTTGCTTATTACAATCGCTGAGATGCTAACGAACACCTTTGCTTCACGTTAGCCAACGTTTGCGTAGAAAAAAGACGACACTAAATTGCAAGCGTAACCTGGTGACCATGGTAACGCGTCGTAGGTTAACTTGCACACTAACGTCTGTAGTTAACACATCCGACTTTTTTCTGAGTTCCAGCTTCTGATCACCTCAGAAGGTTCTGATTGGCCAAATCGCATCATAATGTCTCATTTCCTTTTTGTTGCCATGACAACTGGCAGATCAGTGCTAGCTGCTGTTAGCCAAAATGTTAGCCTACGTAGTTTACATATACACTTCTGTCGTTAGTTAGCATAGTTAGAGGAGCCATCAATCATTTAAAACAATTTCTAACGTTCATTTTAAGTATCAGTTAATACATGTTTTAGGAAAACATTTTCATTTTTTTTATTTCAATGAAATGATAAAAAATAACTTTAGATTTGTGTTGCTGTTTGTTAAACATTTCTCCACTAAACAAAGACAGATTCATCAGATTTACTTTTAAAGAAATGTAGGTTAAATCTCAGCCTTCAAAATGATTACATCATTTATTATTTTTTAAGGGCATGATTCCTCTTGGTGTTCCAGCTAGCCAATCACAATTCAAATGTTTTAATTGCCGTTCTTCTACTTTTTTTTAAAAGATCATGAAACTTGAAGCTGCTTTTTGAGTCAAATGCAACTTGAAAAGCCTTTTGTTCGCATCTTTTCTCGGCCACCGTCGGCCTTAAACCGACAGCTGCCTTAACGCGGCCGACGGACGTCCTGTTCTAAACCGCCCTGAGGCCGGTGTGGATCTGTAGGTGCTGCTCCTCTCTGCTCACTTGATAATAAAATGTATCAGTGGAGGTCGGATTAGTGACGAGAGACAACGACCGGTTCTTAACTGATTCACTTTTAATTGACCTACACTGATATCATCATTATTTATCTGGATTCTATTTGATTGGCATTGATTCAGACCGACAGGTGGGTGGGGTTTACCTGCTGGACCAATTATCAGAGTGTTGTTACTGGATTTTTACTCTAAACTACATTTTAGACGTCCACTTCCTGTCCAACTGGTCTGAATCTGGGTGTGAATCTGTTTGACGTTGTTAAAATGAAGTTGTCTTTCTGGTTTGAACTGTCTGAAGGAAACTGTTTGTCCGAGTATTAGTGTCTGAATGATGTTTTAATTTTCACAAAAGCTGGAAACACATAATAAAGTTCATGAAGAAACTCGTCATCTCGTCTGTTCTGAGAGAACCTCAGACAGCAGAAATGTATTTAGTGTAACATGTTTGTTTATATTAGTATTTTACTGTAAATCTCTTAATCACCTCTGCAAAATGTTCCACTCACAAAAGTACATTTCACAGCAGAAAATGAATCAGACTATTTTGATAATATAATAAAATCTTCTATTCATCATTCTTCATATTCCCTCATTTTTATTTAAAAAAGAACACGATAGAGGAACAAGGAGGTGTTAGGGGGCGTGGTGGTTAGGATGGGGGTGTTAGGGGGCGTGGTGGTTATGGGTGGGGGTGTTAGGGGGCGTGGTGGTTATGGTGGGGGGTGTTAGGGGCGTGGGTGGTTAGGATGGGGGTGTAGGGGCGCGTGGGTATGGTGGGGGGGTTAGGGGCGTGGTGGTTATGGTGGGGGGTGTTAGGGGGCGTGGTGGGTTATGTGTGGGGGGTGTTGGGGGGCGTGGGTGGTTAAGATGGGGGGTGTAAGGGGGGCCTCGGTGTATAGGATGTGGGTGTTAGGGGGGGGGGTGGTTCGTGTTACAGGGAACTTTGTGTTGGGTCGAATCTGGCGCCCCCCCGTGGACTGACGTGCAGGGCTGTAGTGGAGGGTAAACGTACGTAAACGCCGTTTACTGATAACATAATGCAATATAGCCAGGACAGCCTTACAGAGTCGCGACGCTTTGTGTTGCGTTGCTTCGCATCGCGTCGAGGTCTGTATGATCACAAAATTCAGAGTTTACCCACCTCTAATTTTACCACTATAGCACTGCTGACGTGGTAGTGTCCCGTCCCACCAGGGTCCCTTTGTTGACATCTTATTAAAATGTGTAACTTTACTTTGAGTATTTCAAATGTTGGTGTTAATAGTTTAAATATCTGAGTACTTTATTACATTATTTGACGTTATGTTACGTTACAGACTTCCGGTGCTGTTGTTCTTCTGAGCAGTTGGCGGCAGTAACGAGCTGTAACCACCAGTCGGCCGGAAGTAAAGAAGAAGAGCTTCCAGTTGACAGGTGGATGTTGTTTTGCTGTGGGTCAAATCAATCGGGGCGAATATTCCTCCATTAAACCATTCCTCCGGTTATTATACCGGGACGTGAATGAGCTCTGATATCCGTCTACCGGATCTTAGTCACGGTCCTTCCGCTGTTCGTCCCGCGCACCGACCCTCTGATGGCCTCCAGGCGGCCGGACAGCTTCGACGGGCTCGGCTACCGCGGCCGCGACGACCCGCTCTACGGAGCGAGCTACCCGGTCAGAAGCGCCGGAGGCCCTGCGGAGCTGCAGCACCACCACTGGGTCAGCACGCCGCCGGACATCCCCGGCAGCCGCAACCTGCACCACGGAGAGCGGACACCTCAGCATGACGACCCGCTGGGAGAGCGTGGAGATCCCGGAGGTGCAGCGGGCTGGGATGCACCGCAGCCCGGCGTACCGCCTGCCGGTGAGTCGGTGTGGTGGAACCGAGAATTGTTAGCTAGCAGCTTGAGAAAAGTTAGCTAATCATGGCAGCAGTCTAACGGCTGAATATACAACTCTAACGGTAGCTAGTTAGCAGGCTAATCCTACAATGGGAAGTGACCGTAACAAGCTAACGGCTACATAGCTAACAGCAGGTGTCTAACTAGCTAACATGTCAGCAAGAAGCATCTAAGTTTTATTCTTTCATATATTACTTCAACTTCTCCCCTTTGAATAAGTATGTAAGTGGTTTCTCTACTTACCATTATAACAGTAGACTCTGTGTGTGTGTGTGTGTGTGTGTGTGTGTGTGTGTGTGTGTGTGTGTGTGTTGTTTCTTGCAGAGCAGCTCAATCGATTTGCCGGATTCGGAATCGGACTCGTTAGGTTTGAGAAAGATTCTTACTAATACTGATTATATTTTGTTTGATTCATTTTAAGAATAGTCGTTTATTAAATGTCTTACCGTCTGAATACACTGAATACATTACAGAGCTGTCAATCATCATCATCAGTTCTTAACTAGTGTGGAGCTTCTTTCTGTAAATCAATTAATTTCAAAATAACTGTCTCTAATTAAACCTCTCACTGCCTGTGTCCCCGTCCCTGTGTCCCCGTCCCTGTCTGTCTGCAGCCTGTTCACTGAGAACGTCCTCGCTCATCCCTGCATCGTCTTCCGCAGACAGTGTCAAGTATCGTCTCTCGTTCTTATCAATAACTTATCAATAACTTATCAATAACTTACCAATAACCAAAATCTGAGTCTCATCAGCTAAATGTAATCTCATCTGCTGAGATGTAAAATATTAATGATTTATTCATTATTATTATATTTTCTCTTTTTTTAAGTGTAGTTCTAAAGAAAATAAGTATTGGACTTTAAACACAAAGTTAAACGCATGACTAAATCGTTTGTGATGTCAGTGCGGTTCGTGCCCTCTGATTGGCTGTCTCAGGTGAACTACCACGCCCGCTGTTACCACCTGACTCCCTTCAGCGCCGTGGCCGTGATGTACAGCATCACCAAGGCTCAGGTACCCACACCCAGAAACATCGGCTCTGCCTCAAGAAGAGACCATTTAGATTAATAACACATTGTTACAAATATGTGTTATCAAGGAAATATTCAAATTGAAATAACAATGACCAATATAAATTGAATAATCAGTAGTTTTAATAGAATCTGAGCTGGGAATGTGTCAGTGAGCATGTGTTGTTGTTGTTGTTGTCAGGGTCTGAAGGCTCTCTGGAAGGGGATGGGCAGCACCTTCATCGTTCACGGCATCACACTCGGAGCCGAGGGCGTCATGAGCGAGTTCACACCGTTACCACGGTAACTACCCGCAGTCTGTGGCGTCGTGCACTAACACGTAGTGTCGTTGTAGTAACACGTAGTGTCGTTGTAGTAACACGTAGTATTACAGTAGTCTCATTGTAGTATTTTGTCTCTGCAGGGAGCTTCCTCACAGCTGGAGCTGGAAACAGCTGGCTGGACATTTACTGCTTAAAGGGTCCGTCCACTTCTTCTTGTACTTCTACTTTATCTCAGGAACTTCTTCCACTGAATGAAAGTCTCTCTCTCTGTGTTTGTGTCTCTCGCCCGCAGGTTAACAGCCGTCGTGGCGCTTCCGTTCTACTGCGCCAGCCTCATCGAGACCGTCCAGGTGATTATTCCAACGAGAAAAACGTTGTTGCATAGAATCCTTTTCACGCTTTCATGTCCGCTGCAGCACCGTCACCATGACGACCTGCATTACCCAGCTGTTTTTACCATGTGACCTTTCATCATTGGCGCCTAACAATGCGTCGACCTCTCCCCAGAGCGAGATCGTGCGTGACGAGTCGTCGTCCGGGCTGCTGGACTGCGTGCGTGAGGGTCTAACCCGGCTGCTGGGCGTCGGCGCTCCTCACAGCCACCGGCTGCTTCCTCTCGGCTCGCTGCTGCTTCCCGCCGCGCTGCACGCCATCCTGCGCTACGCCGTCGCCGCCTCCGTCCAGCGGGCAGCGCTGTGGTTCCATCAGCGCCGCGGGAAGCAGCGCGCCAACCCGTCCAACCCGCTGGACGCCTACTTCCCCGAGCTGGCCGCGGCGTGGGCGGGGTCTCTGGCGGCCGACGTCTTGCTGTTCCCCCTGGAGACGGCGCTGCACCGCCTCGGCCTGCAGGGCACGCGCACCATCATCGACGCCACTGACGGCGTGGTCGCCGGGGGCAACGTGGGCAGTCCGCTGGTGCTGCCCGTCAACACGCAGTACGACGGCTTCCGCGACTGCCTCCACGCCATCCGGCGCAAGGAGGGCGCCGCCGGGTTCTACCGCGGCTTCGGGGCGCTGACGACACAGTACGCGCTGCACGGAGCGCTGCTCGCCGCCGCCAGGACGCTGCTGAGACTGCTCCTGCTGGAGGGCGGGGCCAGCTAGAGGCGTTACCATGGAGACGCAGCTTCACTTCCAAAGTAAAGAAATTCTCAGTTTGTCTTCAACAAGAAAGATGTTAAAAAGCTGTTGTGACAACGTGCCGTATTATTGATATAACGACTCCACTTCGCCTCGTTCAGTGGCTCTTTCCTGCCAGCCCGTCATATTGCGTCACGTTTAGCCTAGCTTAGCACAAAGAAGCGGGGGGGACGGTTAGCCTAGCTTCATCAAAATATAAATAGATCCACCAGATTCTCATGTGGACTCGTCCTGATGTCACTTCAGACCAGACGTTGTGGATGTGTGTGTTGCCGTGGAAACCGTATCACTTCCTGTTCCACATGTACTGAGACACATTCAAACAGCATCAGCTCATTTGAAAATGTGAAGCCATTTTTATTTGTATGAAATTGTAAAAATGGAAAATCTATTAGAGGCTATATGTGACCTATAAATATCCAAATATAATCCAATAACGTTAGTGAAGAAGAAATGAATCAGTTTAATTGGGGAAGGTGAAGGTGTTTATTATTATTTCAAAATGTCTGCAATTCAATTGATATTATTATTGATATTAAGTTTTTTGAAACATTTGAATTAAATGAAAGTTATTCAAGTGTTTCGTCTTTTTAAAATGACCGAGTCGGCAATTATTCATGTTTTGTTCTATTGTTTGTTGTAAATGTTTAAATGTTGCACTTTGTTCCCCCTGAAAAATAAAATCTAAACTTGAACTTTCACTTGAAATAAAACAAAATGTTCTCAGTGGAGATGATTCTTCTGGGTCAATTTATTTCCAAAATAAGTTCAATAAACCATATTTGATCTTTTAAGATGAATCTATGGTCCATACAGGCACGTGCACAGGTAGACACAGGTAGACCGCCATGGTGCTCAAGCACCTGCCCTTATGCCCCGGATGAGAAAAGTCCAATGCTTTCTTTAATCATCAATATCTAAGAATAAAAATTACTTTCTGTCATCAATTCCACCCAAATGTGTTTTGAGTTAGACGGTTTTGTCTGTTTTTGTTATTCTGCCTGTTATTTAATCAATTTGAGTTTGTTAATAAAATGTTTTTATTTAATTAGTATTGTAGTTAATGAATCATTTTGGCGATGGGTGCCCTTTTGTTTTGGTTTGAGAACCTGCCCTGCAGAATGTCTGTAATTCCAATGTTATTTACGATTATGTTACATTACATCACAGGTCACTTACTTTACACTTTAAACCTGTGGCTTTTTCACATTTTGCCCAGGGAGCAATTAGGGGTCAGGTGTCTTGCTCAGGGACACTCCAGGGCAGCCTGGACTTGAACCACCGACCTTGTGCTTCCAGCTCACCATCTCTAACCCCTGCACCACGACGACCCCATCATTTTATTATATTATATTTCCTTCACGTTTGTTATTTAAATGAGTCCCATGAAATAACATACTTATTTTAAGATAATTCATCACTACCCAGTTTAGATCAAATAAATATGTATAATGAACTTATTTTCTGTTTTCCTGCTCAAAGCGGAACCTTCGTCTTGAGAGCGGAACCTTCCTCTTGGCGATCGTTGTTTACAGTCGAGCCCAGTTAACCGGCGCTCCCCCATGTGTTCTCTCTCGGTTCAGCCCCGTGTCCCCGGTTTGTTTGGTCTGTTGGTTGCGGGTCGTGTTTGTTCGGTAAAGCCCTCCGTTACTAGCGGACATGCCGGCCGGCGGCAGCTCTTTGTTCTCCGGCTTCCGGGTTCTGGGTCTTTATTCCAACCACGTGCCGCACGCGCTCCGCTACCACAAGAAGCACCGCGAGTTCTACGTGGTGACTTCGGTCGGTCAGTGTTTCCACACGTACAACGTGAGTACCGCGAGCGCGCGCGCGTGTGTGTGTGTGTGTGTGCGCGCGCGAGAGAGAGCGTGTGCGTGCGTGTGTGTGTGCGCGCGAGAGCGTGTGCGTGCGTGTGTGCGCGTGTGTGTGTGTGTGTGTGTTGACTGACTGGTGTATTGATGTATCGATTGATCGGCATATTGACTGATGGGTGTATTGATGTATCGATTGATCGGCATATTGACTGATGGGTGTATTGATGTATCGATTGATCGGCATATTGACTGATGGGTGTATTGATGTATCGATTGATCGGCATATTGACTGATGGGTGTATTGATGTATCGATTGATCGGCATATTGACTGATGGGTGTATTGATGTATCGATTGATCGGCATATTGACTGATGGGTGTATTGATGTATCGATTGATCGGCATATTGACTGATGGGTGTATTGATGTCCTTCAGGTGAACCGGCTCGGCATCGTTGCTGTCAGTGAGTACATCTCAATAGATTTAAACCCAATTCCCTATGAAGGTTCTGCTCTCTGATTGGCTGCTGTGTTGTGATGTAACGTGGTTGTTTCCTAGGTAACAGCCTATCAGATGACATCAGCTGTGTGGCCGCAGACAGGATGCTGGTGTTCGCCGCCGCCGGCCGCCTCATCAGTGCCTTTGCTCGCAACAAAGAGGTGAGATAACTTTATTTTAAAAACACCATCCATCCATCTTCAACCGCTTATCCGGGGTCGGGTCGCGGGGGCAACAGCTCCAGCAGGGGACCCCAAACTTCCCTTTCCCACATCCACCAGCTCTGACTGGGGGGTCCCAAGGCGTTCCCAGGCCAGTGCAGAGATATAATCTCTCCACCTGGTCCTGGTCTTCCCCGGGGCCTCTTCCCAGCTGGCCGTGCCTGGAACACCTCCCTAGGGAGGCGCCCAGGGGGCATCCTCACCAGATGCCCAAACCACCTCAACTGGCTCTACTCCGAGCTCCTTGCGAATGGCTGAGCTTCTCACCCGATCTCTAAGGGAGACGCCAGCCACTCTCCTGAGGAAACCCATTTCGACCGCTTGTACCCGTGACCTAGTTCTTTCGGTCATGACCCGTCCTTCATGACCATAGGTGAGGGTAGGAACAAAGATTGACCGGTAGATCGAGAGCTTTGCCTTCCGGCTCAGCTCTCTTTTCATCACAACGGTGCGGTAAAGCGAGTGCAGTACCGCCCCCGCTGCTCCGATTCTCCACCCAAACTCACACTCCATCTTCCCCTCACTCGTGAACAAGACCCCGAGGTACTTGAACTCCTTCACTTGGGGTAAGGACACATTCCCTACCTGGAGTAGGCAATCCATCGGTTTCCTGCTGAGAACCATGGCCTCAGATCTAGAGGTGCTAATCCTCATCCCGACCGCTTCACACTCGACTGCGAAACGCTGCAGTGAGAGTTGGAGGTCACAGACGGAAGATGCCATCAGGACCACATCATCTGCAAAAAGCAGCGATGAGATCCACAGCCCCCCGAACTGTAGACCCTCCTCCCCCCGACTACGCCTCGATATCCTGTCCATGAAAACCACAAACAAGATTGGTGACAAGGCGCAGCCCTGGCGAAGGCCAACCCCCACCGGAAACGCCTCCGACTTACTGCCGACCACCCGAACACAGCGCTCGCTTTGGGCGTACGAGGATTGGTGGCCCCAAGCAAGGACCCCCTCACCCCGTACTCCCACAGCACCTCCCACAGATTCTCTCGGGGACCCGGTCATACGCCACAGAACACATGTAGACGGGATGAGCAGACTCCCAACCCACCTCCATCTTTTACAAACACGTTTTTATTTGTTTTGAAGTATTTGAGCCATTTTGCTCTGCGTGCAGGTGGTGATGTGTTACCATGGACACAAACAGGAAGTGCGTCTGCTGCTTCCTCTCGGGGATCAGCTGATCTCGGTTGACGGCGGCGGCGATTTCATCGTGTGGGACGTTCAGGGAGGAGGTAAGGGGGCGGGGCTTCACAAGTTCCCTCCAGTTTCTATCCCCTCCCCCTCTTATTACCCATCATGCCTTGCTATCTCTCTCAGACGTCTACTTGCGGCTGCACTTTGACCCCGCCACCTTTGACGTGTCGGCCATGATGCATCCCAGCACCTACCTGAACAAGGTGCTGCTGGGAAGCTCCCAGGGTGCACTGCAGCTCTGGAACATCAAGACCAGGTGAGTGCGTTAGCTCGTTAGCTTCCAGGCTAACAGGTCTGAAGTCACGCTTCATGAGAGCCACTTGTGCAACGGATTTATTGTTTTTGATTCGTTATTTATTCAAATCTCAACGCGTCTGGTCAACACATTAATAATGTATGAAGGAGTTGTTCAAATATGTGGTTGTTTTTCCAGTAAGTTGTTGTTCACGTTCCCCGGCTGGTCTGCTGGAGTCACGGTTCTGCAGCAGGTCGGTTTCTCACCAACTCGAATGATTGAAACTTTCTGTGTTTTTAAAAACATTTGAATGCCCTATGAATACATTTCAGTTTTGATTAAAAAAACATTTCATGAAATCCATGAAAGTTTAAGAATATTGCTGACTGGAATATGTTTAATAAAAACATTTGCTGAATAACTTCGTTTCCCAGAGTCCTGCGGTCGACGTGGTCGGCGTCGGCACGGCGACGGGACGCATCGTCATTCATAACATCCGATTGGACGAGACGCTGATGAGCTTCACGCAGGACTGGGGACCAATCAGCTCGCTCGCTTTCAGAACAGGTGGAGTTTAGTGAGCGGAGATTCTAAATCATTCGATACTATAATAATAATTATAATTATTTTAACCACAACCTGTTGCTACTCTGTGTCCCTCAGACGGGCCCCCCATCGTGGCGTCCGGCAGTCCTCAGGGCCACATTGCATTCTGGGATCTAGAACGCCGGCAGCTGCTCACTCAGCACAGACACGCCCACAGAACTGCCGTAGCCGCGGCAACCTTCCTGCAGGGAGAGCCGCTGCTGATCACCAACGGCGCCGACAACGCCATCAAGGTCAGATCGTTTATTCTAATAAACGCCGATAAAGATTGACGGACAGGTACTCATAACGGTTTCATTTTTCTCCTCAGGTGTGGATATTTGACCAGGAGGGGGGGTCACCCCGGTTGCTACGCAGTCGTCAAGGCCACAGTGCCCCGCCCTCCACCATCCATCACCACGGCAACGACGGGAAAAACATCCTCAGCGCCGGTAAGTAAATATAGTTTGTCCGAGGGTCAGTAATCGTAATCAGTCTATTTTGTCATCTTTATTTTTACGAAAAATAATTTCTCGTTCAACTTTCATATTTAATTTTCTTATTAACTTAATTTAAATTATTAAACAAAATGTCCAATTTCAATGATGTTTTCTGGATTGTTAACATATTGTATATTTTAAAAGCGGTCATAACGGATCATAAATGCGTGTGTTTTGCAGGTCAGGACGGGACGCTGCAGAGTTTCTCCTCCGTACACGAGCGCTTCAACAAGAACTTGGGTCACGGTGAGTTCAGCCGACTCGTTCAATGAAGACGGAACTTGTATCGGCGGCAACAACAGCAATCAGTTTATTTTAGCTGCTGAATGGACGAAGCGCCTCTGGACCAATCAGATGTCAGAGTGTCGCGTTGCTTGAATCCAGATCACAGCGCTCCTTTGTCCGTTCTAGGCTCCATCAACAAGAAGAAGGAGCAGAAGAAGAAGAAGGGGTTGACCTACGAGGCGCTGCGTCTTCCCGCCATCACGGCGTTCTCCTCCGGTGAGGCAGACTCGACACCGTCAGGCTCCTCGCCGTGATCCTATTTACGGTGGTGCCGTAAAGCAAAATTAGTGGCCGTGTGAATCGGTATTAATTTCCATCACAGCCTTTCCCCGTGCCTCCACCAAGCTCAACCATCGC